ACCAAGCTGCCACCAATTCATCTAGTGAAGAGGAAAAAGTCTTTGATGTCACACTAGAGAGGGGCTGCAGTACAGGACTGCCTTTCAGATTATTCAGTACAGTCCCTGGACAATTCCCCAGGCATTCCCTAGCTTTCCTGCCCATATTTCTGGTCGCACTGCTTTGTTTGGGCTCTGCGCATGCCTGGGTTCAGCAGGTTGAGAATTTTGTGTAGAAATGTGGATTGCTTACAGTGCAGCTCCCAGCTTACTACATAGGGCTTCTTGTCGTCTGTAGCCACATGCTTTCCTTGTGCAACATGGATAACAGCAATCCCCATGCCAGATAGGGAGTAGGTAGCCAGGGAGTGTGGTAAGGGCAGCACTGCTTTCTTCCCTGCTGTAAATGTAATCAGGTTTTCTGGCTGGAGAACAAATTCAGAAGGCTATACCTAGCTGAGCAGATGAGAAGGAGATGCAGAGTCCCATGAGCTGAGAGCAGAGCACTGTGGCTATGTCTCAAACAGTGCCTGAGGAGCCACACTCCTGGGGTGCACAGCAGTGCTGAGCTGTCCACCACTCTCTGCTGCATAGGCCTCTTGGTGTCCAGCCCCATTCCTTAGGAGAACTTCCTCTTCAGATAGGGATGTGTTGATCTGTGGCACTGGCTGACAGATGCCCAGTAAGTCTGCAGTGCTTTCTCTTGGAAGCTCTGCAGGGACTGCACCCTTCTGCATCTTCCAGTTGTTGGGAGCTCACCACCTTCTCCACCTAGGACACCCCTGCATCTGAGGCTCTGGTAGTCATTCTAGTGGTTTAGCCCTGCAGCAAGGATGTCCCACTCTTCCACTCCTGGTGCCCAGAGCAGAGCTGCTGCCTGGCAAGTGCTGTGTTTCCATTCTTCCTCCTCTCTCCATTAGTTGGCTAAGTGCTCAATAATACCAATCTTGGAAATCCCACTGGTGACTGGGAGGGCCATGGGCGGCACCCCAACCCCATGTATACTGTACTGAGAGGAACCTATGGTTGAGGTGGGAGTATAACCAGTGTACATACAGAGTAAATGGCTACAAATCGAACAGACTTTTTACAGTGTAATAAATACATCCTGTAAATGAGTGTTCCAGTGTTGCACTGCTTTTCTGTCATGGTTCTGCAGCTCAGAGCTTTGGGAGGAGTGGAGTTTAGCTGCCAAGGTGGTGTGCCCACCTGCCAGTCCCCCAGCTCCATGTACCAGGATCCTCCAAGAGAGTGGTCTGTCCACATGGAGCACGGAGAGACCTGCCCTAACAGATGGTCAGCACATGGGGGAGCTGCAGTGGAGGCCAGCCATCAAGGGGCTAAGCAGAAATGATTCCCATCATAAACAAAGCAGAACTGCAGCAGCTAGATTGCTGTTGCTTCTGGTGATAGTTCAGTGTCGGCTGTAAGATTCCTGGAGTTATGCTGGGGTGTGCTCACACACTGCCAGCACTGAGGGTAGAGACTAGGGCTGAGGAGCAGGTGCCAGGCAGCGTCTCAGCATGCAGCCAGAACACAGACCCCGGTGACAACCTGGCTTGGATGAAAGAAGCATTTTCCAGCTGATGAGAAAGAAATCCTTGTTTCCACTGACAGGATTTGGACTTGGAGAGAGGGCATGAGAGATCCTGGGCTCTTCCAGGGCTAGTGCTTGCCATGGATATCGACAACCCCATATACTTCCCTCCTAATGTTTTCTACTTTGTCTTGTAGCAAAATCCACAGAGTGCCCCTGGAAGCTGCATGAGGCACCAATGCCTTCCCTATCACAAGGATTCCAAGACACTTCTATGAACTTGATAAAGGGTTCAAAAACTTGGAGTATGTTTGAATTGCTTGAGCAAAGGTCTAAATACTGTGTAATGGGAGAGTAATGCACATACTAGGAAAGTCCTGTTAATAAATGCCAGTTCCCTTACTCCATTTCCACCATTCCTGGCATGTTCACTTCCCTTCCTCACTCTCCACTGCTTCCAGATTGTGGTCTTCCAGCCCTTAGATGTCTTCATTCATGTATTTGAGTCCTTGTGCTACCTATAGAATTCTGTATCCAGCCCACCTCCCCACCTTCTATTTCTGAGCACTTGCTTCTGTTTACAGCTCTGTTTTTCTGAGCTGTCTCCAAAATACTCACTGCAGTCTTTAGATGGTTAACTCTTTGTAAGCCATCGCTCAGCTGTCAAGTGCTTTGATGTCAGCAGTGCTGCCCTCTGATTCCCGGATGATCCTTCAGCTTCTTGGGGTGGTGTTAGCTGATGGCAAAGCTCAATTTTTCTTGCTGCCTTCAGATACTTGTTTGGGGGATGCTGTGTTTTAAACTCTGTTTGCAAACCCAGTTTCTACTGAGAGCATTGCATATTAATTCAGACAATTGCAGTGCAAAGCAAAAGCCACCCAAGGAAACTGCAGGAAGCAGGACTGGAATGGAAAGAATGTCGACTGGAAGGACAGAATTGCACTTTAAACAGTTTTCACTAGACTGTAAAATGTGTGAATAGATATGGACTGGAAAACCAAAAAAATATCTTTGAGCATTGTTTGGATTTTGCAATAATGAGGTTTCATGTGTTACAGAGAAAAAATAGCATGGAAAGTGTTTGAACGGGAAGGAGATATGAGTCAGCTGACAGGTAGCATGTGCCGTGATACATATTCTTATCAATAAGGCTCTTGAACCCTATTTGCAACTTAAATTACATAAAAGAGAGTAATACCGCCAGCGGCTGTTGGGGAGGAACAGTGCTCACAACACTGGCCTTCACGTTTGTCCCAGCATATACTTTTTCTAGGTTTGGACTTCTTTCCCACTCTTACAGGTCTGACTCACTGTTTTCCAGAGGAGGCTGGACAGACATCAGTGTAGTTTGGATTTACATACCCCTTATATTCCTATTTACATGAAGAACTTCCATTGCTGAAACAGAACAGAAATAAGTACTGGCATTTAGTGGGTGTTAGTAGGACGTGCTATGTGGAGCTTGCGTTTTCCTCGTTGATGTGAAGCGTCCTAGTGAGAGAAAACCCTCTGGAACGATAAGCCCTGGATTTAAAGCAGATTTGGCATTGAAACATGTGAATCAATGCTGCCTTTAGTTTCAATTTTTAAAATGAATCTGAGCATACTTAGAAGACCTGGTCTGTGTGAAGTATGTTTTCGGCAGTTACCCTCACTCCTACAAGTGCCAGTTGTTGCGCTCCTCTGTTACAGGGCCTGAAGTATCCCCACAGCTCGCTGCCCCGCTCCTACACACACCCGCACCCACACCCTGCGCGGGAGGCAGCGGCCGGGGTTTGTGCAGCTCTCCCCTGGCCCGAGCACGACCTGAGCGCCGCCAAGGCTGCTGGAGCCGGCAGCAGCTGCACTGCTGGCCCTGTGCTGCCCGGCAGCGTTCCCAACACCGCCTGTCCCCGCGGCCGGGTGGCTGCCGGGAAAGGGAGGGTCTGCCAGCAGACGAAGTGCAGGGGCAGCTGTGGGAGCACAGCTGGCTCCGGAGCAAAGTTCTAGAGTGCAGCTCCTGCAGCAGAAGGTCGGGGATGCGATGTGCTGAGCAGCAAGGACAGACCCGGTGCCGGAGAGGAGGCTGCCTGGAGCGTGATTCAGTGCAGGGAAAGATGAGATCCCCCGAGACTACAAGTCCCAGTGTGCAATACTCCTCCGGTTGCATAACCCCCGCCCGGGTGAGGGAGTGGGCACCCAGAGGTCCTCTCCCGTGCGGGCCAGGGCCGGTGCTGTGCCCAGGCGTGAGACAGTGGAAAGGCGCAGGCTTCTTGAGCACCAGCCGCTCCGGGGCCATGGCTACACCGGATGTTTTGGGATTTGGAAGCAAGTCTGCAAGCAGCTGCCGGTTGGGAGGGTGGCTTGTTGCCTAGCTGATAGGGATGTGGTGCTGCTGTGGCCTTGCTGGGGAAGTCGTGTTTCCTCTTCTCGAGTTTTCAGCGAAAAATTTCTCTGGGCAGCAGCGTTGGTGGCTCCTAAATATGACCCCTCATTGAGACATTTGTAGAAAGTGTCAGGGAAGGCAGAGGGCAGGCTAGCCAGGTTGGGATGGTGTAGGTGGGAAGTGGCTTGCGATGTGAGGGCCCCGAGATGTGTCTTAGCCATTTAGTGAGGGCATAAGGTCAGGGGAGACAAGGGAGTAAACTGGGCTTTGTCCTCAGGAGGGAAGGCTGAGCCCATGTTAATCCTCTTCCCGGGAGGAAGAAGAGGGGACTGAGCAAGGTCTTCGGTGCCCGGCTGTCACCTCCTGGCTCACCCCAGCACTGAGACAGTGCCCTTTGGGCCACACTCGCTGGAGCTGCCTGCACCCTCCCGGACACGGGCAGAGGGAGCATCGGCTGAGGGGTGGCCGCAACGCCCTGCAGCCAGCTCCTCCTGCCCGAATCAAAGGCGGCAGCGGCTGCTCGGGGCTGCAGCTCCAGGGAGAGCTGTTTGCTGCGGTGGTGCCGAACGGGAGCGTGTTCCTGCACCCGGCTGTGCCCCGGGGGGTCAAGGCACAGACAGCGCGCTCGCCCGTCCCAGATCTGCCTACCCGGGACTGCCGGCGATCCCCACCCCCAGGGCCGGCGGCGCGGCCGCCACGTGGCGCCCGGGGCCGTGCGGGACGTCCCAGTGCCCGCTCCCTGCTTCCCGCCGGACGGGGCGGGCCCTGCCCTCCGAGAGGGACCCGCGCTGCCTGCGGGGCGGGGCCGGCCTGGGCTGTCCCGGCACGGCTGGGCTCGGCTCCGCAGGGCCGGACTTCGCTCCGCCCGGCTCTGGCCGCCCGTGGGGAGCGCGGCCCGGCGGCAGCAGGCTACGGGGAGGCTCCCCTGGCGTCCCCGCTCTCCCGTAGCGTGGCGGGGCATGCCCGGCCCCAGGATGCCGGCCTGGGGGATCCTACCCATCACGCTGCCTGCCTTCACCATCACCGGCATGTGGATCGTGTGAGTGCCGCGGGACGGCCCAAGCCGGCCCCAAAACCCCGGCGGGAGACGCCTGGGCTGCGGGCGGGATGTTGCGGGACAAGATGCTGAGGCCGGGGGGATGGAAGATGCTTCAGGTTGGGATGCAGCAGGGTGTGGCGTTGCGGGGCACTGCTGGGCCCGCATCAGGATGGGGTACTTCTGCACGCTCGGTCGCTCCCACACCTCCGTGTGCCCCACAGCCACCCTATATCCCCTGCAGCCAGGGCTGGCATATGGCTCCCTGGCCTCGCACTCCTGACGCCCCACAGGATCACACATCCCCATCCAAGCATGAGCACAGCTGATGCTTGTGGGGCACAGGAATGGCCTTGGGAGTTCTGCCACCAGCCCGCATCCTGCAGCACCAGGGCTGTAACCAGCACAAGGGCACCCACCCCATGTGGTGGATAGATGGGAGGGCAGGGGACGTCTGTCCCTTGTGCTGGGGATAGAGGCTGTGTCACCTGGGTGAGCATCACTAGCCACCCTGCTGGTCCCTACTCTGGGCCTTGGCTTTACAAGCTCAGCTGTTCACATAGGGCTATTCTTCTCCAGACCATTGCTCTCCCTGTGCCACTGCAGGCGCTGGATGAGGACCTTTTCCTAAAGGTGCAGGGAGCCCCAGCATAGGTGATGGGACCTTTTGAAGTGTGGGATGGAGCAAACACACCCCAGACCGTGCAGATCTCTCTGAGAGATTCTCCATGTGGTATCCCCCATCCTTCACAACAAAGCCAAATGCTGACCCAGGTGTAGGGTACTCATGCTCCCAGTGTTTCCTCTGGACTCCTCACAAAGCCCTGTCTGTCTCCCATGGGTGACCCTGCGGAGCAGATGCCCCTCCAGCCCTCAGCAGCTCAGGTGGGAGGTGCTGCTTATAGCCCTCACAGCCAGAGCTGCCCTGGAAGAGGGGGTCTTGGGCGCTGCTTCTGTCCCCAAACATGTCCTGCAGCTGAGTGGGGGACACTGTATCACTTGTTAGTGCAGTGGCAGGGTGAAGCCGGGCAGTTGCATGTAGAAGCTTGTTGTGGGTCTACGTGGGGCCATGTGGGGTTGCCGCTGGCCATACCTGGGATGTGGGGGCCACGAGGGGTGACTGGGCGGGTGGAAGCACATCCCACTGTGGGGGGCAGTGCCAGCTATGCCTCTCTTGGCTTGTTGCCCCTTCCAGGAGAGCACGGAGCACTGGGACAGGGACTTGGGGGAGATCTGTGCTGGGAAGCGGCTGAGCAAGGGGTCTGCGGGGTGCTCTTGGTGGATGACCCTTGGGGTGGGCAGCGCTGCCCCTTGAGTCCTGTCAGCTCCGCTCTTTGCCCTGCCCCTCTTTGCTAGGATGATCCTTTCGCGGCCTGGCTGTTACATGGCTGGCTCGGGCGGGAGAGGGGTTTTCTTACCGGTGCTGGGGCCTATTTTTAACCTGAGCCATTTACGGCCACTGGCGGCAGCGATTTGAGCAGCGCGGTGCTGCCCGCTGCTGGGGCTGCCAGGCAGGAGGGCTCCTTGCTTGGCTGGGGGGGCTCCAGGGCCGAGACGCCCCTGGAGCTGGGTGGGATGCATGTCATGAAGCCCCTGTTGCAGTGACCCGGGTGCAGGGCAACTCCGCAGGGAGATGCTTGCTGGAGCTGGTCTGGCTTTTTTTCCTGCCCTATGAAGCTGGGAGGTTCCACAGGGTGAGTGCTGGCCCCCAGCACCCAGTGGGGGCTTGTACCCCTCTACCCCGCCCTGGGGCTGGGCGCTGAGGCTGGCTGGGAGCAGGAATGCAGGCAGGTGGGTGGCTGTGGTAATCCCTGTTGTCTGTCCCCAGGTATGCCATGGCGCTCTCCAACAACCACATCTGCCCTGTCCACAACTGGTAAGGCCTGGGGGGTGGTGGTGAGGGCCCTTCTCCATGGACCAGCTTGGTTACAGACCCCGTAATGCCATGTCCCCTCCAGACCATGAGCCATGCCGTGCTGTGCTGGACCACTGGCTAGCCAAGGCCCCCCTGCACTTTCACCACATTGAAAGGGGGATTGGGGGCCAGGCTGGCCCTAGGAGGAGACTGAGGATGTTGGGAGAAGTCATCTTAGAGGAAGCACCTTCTCCCTTTGGCGGACATGGTGGTGACAGTGATGGGGCACAATAGCCCCAGGGCACGTCTCCTGTTTGTCCCTGGGTGGCTTTTGGGAGCAGAGCTGCCTGGGGTCTAGCTGCAGGCAGGGTAGGACCCCATGTCTGCAGAGCAGTGAGAGTGCCAGGGCCTGGCAGGGCTACCCAGAGCTGCCATCCATCCCCTGCCTGCGGTTACAGCCGCTCCACTGAACCCCGCTGCACACCAGGCGGGGAGAAGGAGGCCGTTGAAAAAACAGAGCACGGGGAAAGTATGAAATAAGTGGTCAGGGAATTACAGAGGCCGTGTGTCTCCATGGGAAAGGTTGAGGCTTGCTTGAGTGAGGCTAAATCTGTCAGTGCCAGGGGGCGGGAAAGCCCAGCCGCCCCGTGGGGGCAGTACCCCCGTGGGTACTGCTGCCTGCAGTACCCTGGGATGGGGGATGAGGCAGGGGAGAGGCGAGGGCTGGAGAAAACACAACTGTTTGCTTTCCTGACAGCTTCTGCTGCAGGGCTTTGGGCTTGTTGTGTCTCCTTAAAAATCTGCCCAGAAAAATCCATGTTAGTTTAATTCTCTCTGGAGTGTTTGAAGGAGAAGGGGGGGACGGACGGACGGATGACACGACACGACCTGCTGCCATTTCCTGCCTAATGGCTTGTTCTGCCCGGGGAAGAATGTGTGTCGGGTTGTCTCTGCCGCACAGCCAGCCCTTAATGATGAATAATGCTTTCCAGCCTCGGGCGGCCTGCTTGAAACAAAATAATAACAAAAAAATCCCTCCCAAACCAAACACGGCCCCAGGAGCAGCCCTGGAACAGGCCACGGAGCTCCACGCCTCGCCGGGGTTTCGTGGTTGGAAAACAAAGCCACCAGTAAATGAGGAGACTTGAAAAAACACCAGCGCCCAGCCTGGCCCTTTCCAATAAGGCCCTTTTAACCGTACGCTTGCTGGGCGGCTGGAGGTGGCTGAGGGTCAGCCTGAGCCAGGGGAGCGTGGTGCTGCCACCCAGTCCTGTCCCTGCCGTGGGGCAGGGGGTGTCTGAGGGTCATTGTGGGGTGCAGGGCTTTGGGCTCCCTGCCTGCGGGGTGGGAAGGGGGTCCTGCTCAGCTGTGCCAGGCAGAGGTGCTGTCTGCCTGTGTGATGCTGCAGCAAAGGGGTGCCCAGAAACCCACTGTGAGTGTGAGCCAGCTGCCGGGAGGGCAAGGGGCATGTAGTTGGGGGGGGAGTTTGGTTGCAGCAGCAGCTGTGGTACAGGAAGGTGTCTCAGGGTGGCAGGAGCTCTGATTGCCCGGGCTTGCAGGGTCTGTGCTGCAGGAGGCACTCCCAGGCTCTGCAGTGGCTGTGGACAGAGAGCCCAGCTCCTCGGCAGCTCCTTCGCTCCCGGGCAGGGTGGCACTGCCCCGGGTCCTCATGGCTGTGGGCGCTGTTTCCTGCTCAGCCTGGCGTTCCCTGTCCCATGTCCTGTGCAAGCCCAGAAACGTCAGTGGCTGCGTGCCCGGTTCCACCCGTGCTCCCATCCCGGGATGTGTGTGATGGGACTGGCTGGTTCCTGCTCCCACCTGGGGCTGCAGGAACACCCTGAGCCCAGCACCCCAGCCCATGCATCCAGCAGTATGTGCAGCTCCTGCCCCACTGTGGCCGCTCCCTTGCAGGCAGGGACACTGGGTGGGCAGCAAAGCCAGCAGGCAGGGCGCAGCCTGTGGAAACCCAGGTGGGATGTTCCCGAAGGACCCTGTTGGGTTGTGGGTTGCTCACTGGAGGGACTTGTCCTTGGGGTGCGGGCACATCCCTGGGGTCTGGCTGCACTCGCTGGGGAGCAGCTTTGTTGCCCTTGTAGGGGCTGTGGACAGGAGGGTCCCAGGCAGCAGGTTGTCTCTCCCAGCTGTCCCTTTCATCCCGGCAGGAATTACAATCAGTCGTGCGGCGTGGACAGCCCTGGCTCCTGCTGCACACTGGACCACATTCCCCTTGTCAGGTGAGCAGCCATGGGGGTGGGAGTGTGGGGCTGGCTGGGGGTCAGAGCTGCTCCGAGAGCCCCCAGGAGCATGTGCTGGGTAGGGGGAGCAAGTGCTGCACCCCAGTGCTGCCTGGCTGAGAGCTTCCTGGGCCTTGCCTTGTCCCCGCAGCAAGTGTGGCACCCTGCCCCCTGAGAGCTGCTTCTTCAGCCTCATCTGCAGCCTGGGCTCCTTCATGGGTAAGTGCCTGCTGCCTGGAGCAGGGCTGGAAGAGAGGTTCCCTGCCTGGCGGGGGGCAGGAGGAGGGGGATGCACTCGGAGGTGTGTGATGGGGCTGTGTCTCCCTCCTGCAGTCATCCTGGTGGGGCTGCTGCGCTATGCCCACCTCCTGGAGTGCCTCGGGCCGTCCCTCCTCAACACCCTGGGGCTTGCCACCGGCTGGGTCTGCGCTGCTGGCCTCACCATGGTCGGCAACTTCCAGGTGAGGCATCACCTTGGGGGGGCCCAGGGCAGGAGGGGGTCTTGGCTGGAGCAGGGCAGGGGCAACATTCACCAGTGTAGGATTTGGGGTGGTTGTTTTGGTCCCATCTGTGCACTCCTTCACCTCTTCGGACACAGTGCTTCCCCAGGCACTGGGAGTACATTTTGTGCACTCATAGGTTTGGGTCTGGATTAAGCTGGTGGGTTTGGTTTAACCTTATCTGAGACCCTCTACGTGGTCTGTCCCCTCCATGGACTCCTGACCCTGTGCAGGCAGGGACATGCCAGCGAGGCAGAGGAGACCAGGCCAAGCTGCCAGTGCTCCTGCTGCCCTCCATGTGGGTGTTAGCTGCTCTGGGGGTGATGCCAGGAAACTGTCCGGGCAGAGCCTGTGCTCACAGGGTGTCTGGAGCACCCAGGGCCTGGTGGCAGCGCTCCCCCCTGCCTGCGCTGCCAGCCACCAGCCTCCCGGCAGCTGCCAGCCCTCCGCCTGCAGCATCCGGGCTCTTCCGCTTGATAAGAGGCTGCTGCCGGCACCACGACCCCGGAGAAGCTTTTCTGGCTGGCCCCAGTGTGCCGGTGCCGCAACCGTGGCTCAGCTCAGCAGGGCTGTGACCCCCAGGAGGGGTGCAGGCAGTCCTAGATGCTGCTGATGGCACAGGGCAGCTCCTGCCCAATGCCCCTGGGCACAGTAGAGCAGTTGGCCCATGGGGCTCAGGAGCTACCACCCCATGGTGAAACAAACAGAGCGCTTTGAGATCTCAGCAGCGGACGGCGCGTCCACATCTGCTCCTCAGCCAGGAGATGGGCACAGGATGAGCTGCCAGGACCTATCCCTGGCACTGCTGCACCCCTGCGGGTGCACGAGCCCACCCCCTGAGCAGAGCCATTTCGTGCTGGGGAGCATAGGAGGGTGCTGGCACTGAAGGTCTCTTCCCCTGCAGGTGGATCATGCCAAGGTGCTGCACTACATCGGGGCAGGGGTGGCTTTTCCCACCAGCATGCTGTTCCTGCTCCTGCAGTCCATCCTCACCTACTGCATGGCCAAAACCCGTGGGCAGTACTGGACCAGCCACTTACGCAGCATCCTCACCATTGTGGCCTTCCTCACCCTCGTTTTCAGTATCCTTTTGAGGGGTATGGGGAGGAGATCTGGGATGAGCTGGCTAAAGGTGTCCCCTTGGGGGATATGCACCCCACGTCCTCCATCTTTGGTCTGGCAGCAAGGCACGGTGCAGGAGAGGGGCTGGGCAGGGGCTGAGGGTGTGCAGCTCATGCAAGTGTAGGCTGGGGAGCAGCAGTATCAGGGCCATGCAGGGGCTGAGGAGGGGAAGGGACGCTGACGGGCATCTCTCAAGGTGCTGATGTGCCTAAATCAGCCCTGCCCTGGCTGTTGCACCCCAGCCCAGCCACTGCTGCAGGCTCCAGCCTCACACTGTGCAGAGTGGAATCTGAGTTGCCAATACGGCTGAAGCCAGGCACTGGGGTCTGCAAACAGCACACCAGGGAGGGAGGGCATGACAGCAGGGCTGGAAGAATATCCCAAGTGTGTAGCTGGGGAACCAGTGGCTTATTTGGGACTGAGGTTAGGGATAAATTGGGAAACAAGGTGGTGGTTATTGGGCAGGAAGGGGAAAATGCGTGCAGTGTCCACAGGTCCCATAGAGGCTGGCTGGGGTCTGGCCAGGGTGAGCAGTGCAGGAGGAGTCTGGAGGGTGCTGGTGGGTCTGGTATGTGCCAGAAGGTCCTGCTCTGTCACCGCAGCAGGCAGGCGGGTTGGGAAGCGGGCAGGGAGCTGGGCAGGGCAGGAGTGCCATGGGGCCGTGCCAGCTGGGAGGGACCGGCAGGGCATGTAAGGACAAGGGAGACGGCACTTGGTGCCTGTCTGCTGTGGCCATGCTGCTCTGTAAGCACTGGGGAATGGAAGTGGGAAAGCAGTGAGCTGTGTGGGGAAAGGGTTGGGACCTCCCCTGCTGGGATGGGGGGTGTAAGCAGAGGGATCTACCCTGTGCAGGTCAGGTCCCTGCCTCTCAGGCTCTCCCAGACTGTCATCTGCCAGGCAGATGGCAGGGTGCTGCTGGAGGCTTCACCTGGAGGGCTGGGGATGTACCTCCCTTCTCCACTCACCCATGGCTCTGGCAATGAGTTTCCCTAGAGATCCCCAGTGGTGATGAGAGAAGCATAGAGAGACTCTGGCAGCAGTAGGACCTGGAGGAAAGGGAGGAGTCCCCTCTCTGGGGTGAGCCAGCCAGCAGTGCAGAGGGACAGGGGTGCTGCAGTGCTGGGATGCAACAGCCCAAACCCCCTTGCAGAGAGGATGGAGGGCTGATGAGTTTTACTGGCTGTAACTGCATCCTGCAGGAGAATGGGGAGCATCAGTCCATTTGACAAAAGAGGGCGGGGAGGGTGAGGCTGTGGGCACACAGCTTGCCCTGAGGTCTGCACCCTGAGGTCCCCCTGCCCTGGCCTCTTCAGAAAATCACTGCCTGGTATGAGTCCCGGGATTTACCAAGGCTGGTTTGGGCATGTCTGCCACTGCCTCACCCATGCCAAGGCCCTCCCGGTACTGCATGAAGTATCGGGAGTTTCTTGGGTTTAGGGGTGGTGGTGTGTTTCCTGAGGATGGGGCTGCTCACAGCATGCAGTGACAGCAGGACATGGTCCTCCATGGGATGGTAGGGGTCCAGCTGTGTTTTCCTTGACTGGGATGCCCTCAGGTGGTGTGTTCTTCATCCAAGAGAGCTTCGTGCTGCAGCACGTGGCTGCACTGTGTGAGTGGATGTTCATCATCGATGTTCTGGTCTTCTATGGCACCTTCACCTTTGAGTTTGGGGCCATCTCCACAGACACCTTCCTGGTCCTGCTGAAAGCCAGCCGGGCCCCCAAAAGTTACAAAGAGGAGAGCAGCGTGTCCAGCACAGCCCACATCCACAGCCATGCAGAGAGCGTGGCTATGGCCTGACCCCCAGAGGAGGCAGGCTCACGGTAGGGACCCCCAAATCAGGCTTTTCCAGTGACTTCCCTGCCTTAAATGTGTTAGTTCCCGCCTGCTGGGGTGCAGGGGTGCCAGCGTGGTGCTGCTGTCGGCAGAGTCAGGATCTGCCCCTGAGCCTCTGAGGTTGCCCTGTCTGAATCAGGCTGTCAGAGGCAGTCATACAAAGGCAACTTCTGTAAGGAATGTGAGGGAACAGGGACTCACCCTCCCTTCACCACACAATCCTGGTGCACTGGAGAAGGGGAAATCACTGTTCCTCCTTCCTCCATGGCCACAGGATTAAGGTTCAGCAGAGCAAGCCTTCCAGCTGGCTGCTGCAACTGTCAGAGGAGCCAAAAACCCAGAGTGCCTTTTCCCTTTCTGAGGAGGCAATGGCAGTGCCAGTGTGCCTGCCCAGGCAAGGGTGGTGCCTTGTGCGGCTGCAGGATGACACCAGCAGCCCTGGTTAGACCATACAGGCGCTCCTAGCCAGGGCTCTCGCTGCTCGGGGGGGCCTTCCACGCCTCCAGTCAGTGACTCCCACATTCTTTTCAGCTTGGAAAATTGCTGAGGCAGGTTTCACCTCCTGGCCACAGCATTACTGTGCTCCCTGATGGTCAGGTAGGTCAGGAAACGGGTCTCCGCATTTACCATGACACCGGGAAAGTCCTGCAAGCGCAGCGCCTGCAGAGCAGTGGATTTCCCCTGCATAGCACTGCCAGTCTAAGCAGTCCCACTGGGAAGCCTGCACACCCCAGCCCTGGCCTCCCAGCCCTCCCACCCTGGGTGTGCAGGCACAGAAAGGGGAAGCAGTTCTGTAGATACAGAGGAAGCTCATGCCCCTTTCCGCTGGGACTCCCAAATCCGTCCTCCAGTGCCTCTCACAGTGCTCAGTCTGGCCCACGCCTGCTTGGTGGGAGCCTGTCCTGCTCTCAGCCTCAGCCACAGCCTGGGATGTCCTGGGCAAGGGGCTGAATGTGTGTGTGTATATAGATCCACACATATATATATACATATGCATATATATATATATATGTAAATTTTCCCTTGTCCCTGGAGAGGGGCATTTGCTGCTGCTGTGCACATTGATCAGGTTGGGCTTCCTGATTTGCCCACCTTTTCAAAATCGGCCTATAAACTTACCAGCATATGTAGTTCAAAGAGGAGCATTTATGACTTTTATATCTAATATATGTTTAATATATATATATATATATATATATATGAAGAGAGAACAGTGGATTTACAACAATAAAAGTGAAAATCAGGCAAGGGTGCGGCAGCCGGTCCTTCCCCACTGCGCAGGACTGGGGTGGTGACCGGTTTAGCGGCCGTGGGCCAGAGGGATGGGGGATGAAGGCTCCTGCGGGTCTCAGGGCACAGACGTGAGTGTCGGGCAGGGGGAAGACAAGCGATTTCACCGGGATGCAGCAGCCCGCAGTGGCACGTCCCCTCTCACCGGGGTCCCCTGGCCCCCCTCCCGCTGCTGTCCTCGCAGGGGTGGAGCCGGCCCCGGGAAGCCCCGGGAGGCGGAGCCGCGCTGGGACTTTCCCTGGGCCGCGTCCAGGACCGAGCAGCCGCGCTGGTGCTCGGGCTGAAGGTAAGCGGGTAAGGGGAGAACGAAGACGTTACCCATGGGGTACCGGTCCCGGGGTGAGCGGGCTGAGCCCTGGGCCTGCCAGGCAGTGAGCAGGGGCTGCTAGCATCAGGAGAGTATGCGTTCTGTCAACCGGCCCGGGGGATGCTGAGCCTGAGTGCTGCGGTGGCTGCCCGTCGTGCTCAGCAGTCTCCCGCGCTCTCATGCAGCTGCATCCAGCTCTAGGGATGTGCGTGCTGGGCACAGATGTATCCAGATTCCAAGCAGAACGGGAGGTCGAGAGGTTTAAACTGGGCTTTAAAGCCTCAGTGTCCATGCCCGCACTTGCCAAGGGTTCTGCGGTGGCTAGCCGTCGGCACCTCCTGTACTCCCACTCACCATGGCAGCCTCGCCGGTCTTTGGCTGTGTGGTCCCTGGCTGCCTCTCAGCTGGCTCCGGGGCTAGCTGGGAGAGGAGATGTTGGGAAGAGGCAGGCTGAAAAGACATCTGCTGTCTTCTTGTGGGGAGGAGAAAGCAAGTCTCGGCGCCGGTTTTGACACCCGTTTCCCTGCCAGTGACGAAGCTGCTTATTTTCCCGTTTCCGAGCTGCCAGTGAACGCTGCCTCATCCTGAGGCTCTCCCTCTTCACGCTGATTTCAGCCTGATCCTGAGAGGGCTGGCTTGCTGCCTGCCTCAAGGGGAAGAGATCCACACCCTCAGGCTCAGCTACCTACACCCAGAAAGGAGCCCTGAATGCCGGCACTGCAGTGATACCCTGGGTGGAAACCAGGGAGAGTGAGAGACAGCAAATGCCGAGAGGGGTTTTCTGAGGGTGCACAGATACACAACTGGAGCCGATGGTTCAAAACACAACAGCAAAGCAGCTGATTTACAGGCCCTAGAGGAGAAAACCAGATCAGTGGGTGGCTGGGGTTTGCCAAAACCAACTTGATAGCCACAACAGGCATTTTATGCATGGAGGCATAAAAGGCATTTTATGCAGAAAGATACAAATGGCATCAGTGCTCAAGGGCAGGCTGACGGGGAGGGGAAGGCTTGGACAGCTTTCAGGGAGAGGGGATTTGTCTCTGCCATGCCTGCAGGTCAAGGACTTGGTTTCCAGGAAGGGTCTAAGAACAAAATTCCTGTGCTAGAGGAATTCAGCAGCCTCTTGCCACTTACCAGTAGCTATTGGGACTCCTGGGATGGAGCAGAGCACAGGATTTGTGCAGAAAGCAAGGTCAGGTATTTAGGGGCATCATTTGCAGGCATTAGCAGGCCCCAGGGGAAACAAAATGTGCAGGGAATAGTATGTCAGAGCAGCAGCCAGCTGGGTGGCTCGAACATGTCAGCTGTGTGCCAGGGTGGTTCAGAGCAGAGCCATGCTCGTGCTGCCTCCTGGATTGCCCTTTCCCATGGCTGCTAAACACTCTTGCTGCAGAAAGACAGACCGACATTTCCCTCCTGCCCGCAGGGCATTGGCTCTACAAGTCAGCCAGCTGTCACGGGAGGAGAGAAAATAGCACCTGCATTACTAGGTCACGTTCAAGGAGCTGCAGGCATGGAAGAACAGCTTTAACTAATGCTGGTTGCCGAAGGTTGGCCTTTAATTGAGGCAGTCTGGCTGGCACAGGCAGGCTGCACCATCCAGAAAGGGTGCTGTGGCAGTGCTGCTCTCTGGGGCAGGGAGCTGGTGCTGCTTCAGGCAGTGCGTCACAGCTGGGTTGCTGCTTTTTCTCCCTGTTCCCAGCAATGCCAGAGAATCCTTCCTGAGCCCTAGAAAGGTCTGAAGATAGGGAGGAATTAGCCCAGCAAAGCAGGGCTGCAGTGTGTGTACAAGCCCAGGGTAGAGGCCAGATGCGCTGGGTACCATGGAGCATGGGATGCTACTGATGGCAGGAGGGGAAGATGGGTCCTCTTCTGGGGTGTGTGGGGGATAAAAGCCAAGTGTGCTGTACTTCTATGGGAAACCTAGGGTCCTGGGAGCCTGAAGGGCATGACTACTTGGCACAGGAGGCAGGACTTACCTTGAGAGTAAGTCTGAGGTTGCCTAAGGTTACTCTTCCAGGAACAAGGAAGCAGGTGATGACGTTCCAGCTCTGCTTGACGAGCAAGGTGGGCTTCCTCTAACATGTACTGGGTGAGCCGGAGCTGGGGAGACGCAGATGTGAACCCGTGGCGTTCCTTAGTCATGCTGTTTGCTACAACAAGTGGAAGTGTTCAGGGCAGCCGTGAGTGAGCTGTGAAAACCCCTCTAGAGGGCATGAGGCTGATGGCACTGGAGAAGGGCTGCTGTTCTGTTCAAGGGGCACAGTCTCTTCTCCAGCATCTTTGGTCCTGTGTTCCCCCAGCCAGGCTCAGTGGGTAGGGTTTGAGGTAGCTTTCCCAGCGCACTGAGGTAGGATGTTTGTCCCCTCCTTCACCTCTCTGGGAAATCTGTGCCAGCAGATGAGGTGACTGGCTGGTGGTGCACGCTGAGGCTGCCCAGGCGGGATGTCCTGTGGGATCCTGACAGCAGGCTGTCCGTGCTGCTTCCCACAGGCCAGTGGGCTTGTGTCCCCTGCTCCCAGGCTTTCGGAAGCCCCTGTAGAACTGCAGGAGGAATGTCCCGCCTCATTTTGCAGTGCTGGATCTGCACCCTCCTGCACCCCTGCTGCACCTGCAGGTCCCTCTGATCCCATGTCCCAGTCTGCACCGCTGTCTGGGCTGCATTTGGCAGGCAGGCTGGGATGCATCCTGGAGCTTGGCTGGGCTCAGGTGGCAAGCCAGCCGGGGAAAACCTCAGGCCTGGGGCTGCAGGGCAGCCCCTTTGGAGGACTTGAGTGGCTGGAAAATCTTCTTGAAAAGGCTCTTTTCAGCTTCTGAAGAATATGAGTCACGCACGGATTGAACAATCCCCTTCCTTCCCCTCTTCTCCCACACACCCAAAATCCCCTGAGTGGGACCTGTAGCAACCACTGATTCAGAAATTCATGGTATGAGGGCACTGCAGAGTTGGATAAGTTTGGGGTTTTCTCTTTTTTTTTTTTTTTTTGTTGTCTCTTTCCATCACTTAGCGAGAAGAAATGTGGATCAAGAAAACGTGCCTGGGGGCTCTGCTCTGATCCTGCCCCTTTGCTAGAAGTCTCTGGTGATTTCCCACAGCCAGGCAGACCTTGACCCCAGCGGGACCCCTGTCTGTGGTATCTGGCAGTCCCCGCCGCGATGCTGGGGCTGGATGGGTTGCTGAGGCCTGCCTCTTCCTCCCCGGTGAGTAGGAGGGTGCTGTGGGTGTCGGGAAGGGGCCCCGCTGCTGGCAGTGCCTTGCCAGTGTTGGCGGGAGCGCGCAGCGCTGGGTGGCGGGAGATGCTCCCACGGGGGGCTCTGGAGCTGCCGCTCCTGCTTTGAAACCAGATGCTTCCTAGCGGGAAAGAAGGAATGGGAACACCAACGGCAAATGCCTCTCTGAGGCTCCTGGCGCGGGAAGGATGCAGGGGCTGCTGCGTAAGTGGAAACTGGGGGAGCGGGAAAGGACCCCTCTGGGTGCCTGGCAAGGGGCTGACTTTGGTCTGCGGAGCCCTGGAGAGCTTTCCCTGGCCAGGGGGCAGGACGGCTGGCTTTGGGGCAGCCTCTCCTGTTTGGTGCCAGGTCAGCTTGGAGGAGACATCCCTGTGCCGGAGGTGAGATGATGCGATACAGGGACCCGGGAGGCCCCCGGGGCAGCTGCCAGGTTTTTATGCCGCAGTCCGGGTCGTTTCAGCTGCGTTGCACTACAGGTCTTGGTGGGATCGGCGCAACGGCTTGTGAGCGGGACTGGTGCCCGAAGCGTGGCAGGCGGCTGGGGACGGCGGGCGGAAACTTGGGACCTCCGGCGCGGCGGGCGGGCACCGGGGTTTCCAGCCCGCCCGGAGCCCAAAGCTCCCGGGCGGCGAGGAGCGGCCGGTCTCACCGCCCCCGGCGGGCGCAGGAACGGCCGTGCCCCCGTGTCGAGCCGAGCCGTGCCCGGGCCGCGGCCGTGCGGGGCGGGGCGGTGACGCGCGGTCCCGTCATTTCCCGGCTCGGCGGGGTTTCTAGGGACTTTCCGGAGCGGCGGTGCCTTCCTGCCGCCGCCGGTCCCCGCTCACCCCGCGCTCTCCCCGCAGGCCGGCGGCCGGTCCCGCGCAGACATGGACGAGCACTTCCAGCCAGTGAGTACGGTGCGGACCGACCGGGGCGGGGTGGCTCTGCCTGGTCCCGGCATCGGGGCTGAGCTGGAGCAGTGCCCGACCCCACGAGTGCGGTGGGAGGCGGGCGACTGTGCGTGCCCCGGGGTGGGCAAGGGGGGTTCTGCAGGTGCCACTGCCGTGGGAGGTGCGGCGTCTGTGTCTGTCCCCAGGCTGGGCAAAGGAGGTCTGCTGGTGGCCCCAAGGGTAGGCAATGAGGGGTTGGCGCCTGCCCACCCCTCTTCTCTGGGGGAGACGGGAGAGCTGTGCCTGCCTCCCCCATCTCCCCAAGGTGGGCAGTGGGAGTCTGTGACAGACTCTCCCCCCTCCAGGGTAGGAGATGGGGGTCCATACCTGCCCCCTAGGATGGTTGGGATTTCCAGCCCTGGCACACTCATCTCACATATCTTCCCTCTTGCCACCCAGTGCCTGGATGGGATTGACTATGATGACTTCAGTTTCGGCTCACACATGATGGAGCAGAAGGAGCCCCTGATGGAGACAGGTAAG